GTTTCTTGCATATTCTGTAGAAGATGCTTCAGAATGTGAAGAATCAGGCTGACTAACAACTTTTCCATGATCACGTTGATCATGCGTATTTTCTTTAGCTTGCGCTCTTGGTAATGGAGGCAAAAACCGCACTGGACCCAAATCGTTTTGGCGTCTTTCTTGCTGAGCTATCTCCAGCTCTTTTCCTTTCTCTTTCTTGGCTTCAGTCGTTGGGGTTTTGTTTTCAATGGTTGCCTGTTGGGGATAGACTTCGGAAAATAAATGGGGCGGGGCTGCAACTCCGCTTTCGAGTAATACATCATGAAGCTTCTGAGCTAACCGTGGATTCTCTTTCGCAGCATCAATCATATATTGTGAAACATCCTTGACTTTCATCCTCCGAGCAGCTGGGGAGCTAACACCTTCAGTCCAAGAAGGTGATCTCATATGTGTGAAAGAATGAATAGGCCTACTCGAAAGATTTTGAAATGGAGCCTTTTCAACACTCTTATGATTTCTCACATCTTCCATAGAAATATTTGGATGAACAACAAGATCACCTCCACCTCCGGATTGGTTTCTTTCCCTGGAAATCTTGGTGCTAGATCGATGTTCCCCTGTCCGAAACTCTACATTCTCTTCAAATGTGCTTTCAATCCCACTGCTGGAAGAAGGTACATGAAATGAATCGTTGTCTCCCGGACTAGCGGAATATACAGATTCATCATAGTCTATTTGTAATCCAGCTGCATCAGCCGGAATAAGCGTGCCGGGATCTCCCATGAGATCAACAATGTACTCCCTGAAATTCACAATTGTATTGCATATAACTCAAAAGTTTCTTTCACATAAACTTTTATACTTTCCATGCAAGAGTCTATAAACCTATGCATGGATGATGGGAAAATGTTGAATCTATACATAATACCTGAAGTTAGTGTGATGATTACCTGCCATCATCAGTCTTAATAAAGTTCATTGCCACATCTTCGGAACCGGTATATTGCTGTCCTTTGACTATCCGACAAGGAACACCAACGCTATCACACAAAACCTACAAAATTTCATATAAAGATAGATACAAAAGAGATTAAATAAACTTGAAAGTTACGGAAACCACAGCTTCGATTAGAAATGTATTAATAAAGCTGAAAATGTGATGAGAATCAAAAGAAGCCATTATAGTACATACTTTGAATAACAAGGCACGGTGACGAGCCAATCCAATAGTCAGAGAACCAAGTGGCAAAACCATGCTTCCGAGAGTTGCTTTCAAACTGTAGCTAAGACTCCTCCACGCTCTCAGCATACTCTCTGGATCCACGACCGGTCCACCCATGTAATCTCCAACTAAAATAGCAAGTTTTCTTACCAATTCACTGTTTACAAAACCAGAGGAAGAAACCGATTTCGATTTCGCAGCAATATCCAAAGCCAACTGTTCAAGTCTCAACAGATTAGAATCCCCACTTCTGTTCACAAGAACAGCTTCCCATGTCACACCGTCTGAAACAGGCGTCCCTTGAAGATGGAGTAAAGGAGGTATCCGTTCCGATGAAGACGCATTCAACACTCCATACAAGTCGTAAAAACCATCCAATATCTTGTCATCATAGCCAAGACAGTTGTAATTCTGTGAATTCAACCAAAAAATACAAAGCCGGTCAAGACGAAATGAACACATACAAAATGCTCTATAGAGGAATAATCAGAGAGAACTGAATCAAATACTTACCCAATATCGATAAGCAATCAGCTCAGCTGGAGAATTCTCAGGAGCACAAGAACCTAAACTGAATTGCTTAATAGCCTCAATCTGAGTAGCTTCAGGATCCTCTCTAGCACTCAACTCTAAAGCCAACTGTATCTGATACTCTTCTTCAACCTCTGGATCCTTGGAATTACTCAACTCTGAATCCTGCTGCTCAACAACAAGATCACCAAGTTCCATTGACTTGTGATCATTAACCACTTCTCCTCTGTTCTTGGCATTGAGAGAATTTGGTGGACTAGGGCTTTTTCTATGACCAACAGAACTTAACCAGTTAGATAAACCGGAAAAAGGTTTGAGTTCTGGGTTATTACACCTCGATGAATCTGGCGATTTATTGCTCCTAGTTGTTGAAATTGTTGATCCTTCAGCTTCATCCGATTGGTTTGGTGAGATATGAAGTTTCTTTAGAAAGTTCTTCATGTTCATCTTCATACTCCTAATGCTAGAGAAGT